ACTTGTTCAAGGACACACGACATGGATCATATTTCTAACCACAAACTTTTTAAAACTATTAAAGATGCACTCCTACTAAACAGGGTTCCTTTTTGGGTGACTTGCACAAATAATTCAAAAACATTCACCTTAAAATATTCCTTTGGTGCAGGACAAACTTCCCAACTGCAAAAATATGGACACTGATTTCATCAAATGAATAAAGTTATGATTTTAATTTTAATTGTGCATTTCACTTTAAAAACAGTGTATTAAAGCAACAACCTTTTAGAAAATTAAATTTGCCAACCCAAATTATACCAGATCCCTCTAATCAGCTTTGTCCGCCAATAGACCATTTTCAACCACAAACATTAATTGTTGCTAGGTAGGACCAACATCAGGGTTTGTCCTACATAACAACACAAAATGTAAGCTATTCTGGCTATTGAAATACAATTATTGGAAACAGGTGAATAGAATTATTTGTAACGAGGCACTAAACAAAGATTTGTACATTAAATTTGATTATATTACAAAAATTGCCTATTAATGCTGACCATGAAGTAACATGTAATGCGGTACATTGCTAATCCACAAAAGAATGTGTATTCCAATTATTTCTAAGGCCTTCGTAGATTAAAGCCAGTAATCATTTTAATTGCAAGAGCATTTAATCCCTACATGTAGGTCACAATAAGTACACTCTAAAAAGTTTGAACTAACCAAAATATCAACAGCAATAAAACAACACCCAATTACCTATTTTTGTGGATTCAAGTAAAAAAAAAAATTGATTTGATCGATATCCATCAAACTTACACCAACAAATGATTTGTTTTTTTGAAATCTTTTCATTTTTTTTAGATAGAGTAGGAAATAATGCAAAGATAACAAACAGAGATCTAAAAAACAGGTCAATAAGAAGCATACCGTAATTACGTTGTATAAACCGCCCTCGTGTATAAACTGCACCCCCGACTTTGAATTTTTTTCGGTACGGTACGGTTTCTACACCGTTAATTACGGTATTTCAAAATGTTCAATTTAGGTACAGTTTTGCCTTCTTCTAACATGCATGGAATTTGGCAAAATAAAAATATCAACCAAAAATGCCAAAAATGAATACAGAAGCCTCAGACAGGAAACTAAAATTATTCCACTGTCCTTTAATTCCTAGTTATTGTGATTAAAGGCTCAGGTTTTCTGGCAAAGATTTATCTTTCTGTAATTAAACTAAAGACTGGTGTATCATATTTCAGGCCACTGCCAAGGTTCGCTCCAGTGTCTGCTAGCGCCCTGAACTGTGTATGTCACCACGTCTGCCCATAACATGATACAACATCCAATTATCCAATCACTCTGTATCCTTGTTTACCAGGGAGATTTGAGCAACTGTCTTCAACCATGGTGTCTTTAAAAAAACAAATTTTTTTTTCCTTTCATAATTTTGTTTTCTTTCCATTTTACTACAGTCAGTGTGTTAACTAGCCTTAATCAAATTAGTGACAAAAATCTTTTCAAACTGTTTAAGTTAAGGCTGCGACGGGTAGTCGAATGCTCGAGTACCCAAACGGTTGACAACTACTCGGGTACAACTTCTCGTACCCGAATATTTGGCCGGAAAAAAAAAAAAAAAAAAAAAAAAACTGTCCAGGCCCATGCTTACCCGTGCCAGGGAGAGCGGTGGCCGCTGGCATGGTACCATCGGTAAAAATGTTTCCCAACTCAAGCACTGTCAAACTCACCACCCAGAAACTGGGACCAAATGTCCGGATTTATGTTCGGACTCGGAGGACAATGGATTATTCTGCCATCTTTGGTTTTTAAAACAGCATTGTTTACTGTTATTATTATTATTAAATCGGCACCTTCAACTGCAACTCGAAGTAAAATTGCATGCGTTTTCGGCGATACTGGGATACTGCTCCAGTGGTATGGTGGTGGCAAAAAAAGAAAAAAAAGAAAAAAATCTAAATATTCACAAAAAATCAACAAAAAATATTAAAAAAACATGGCGTCCGAATATTTGAGTATTCGCTTGTAAGCCTGGAAGTGTACTTGGGTACCTCATTACACTCTTGTGCACAGCCTTAGTTTAAGTTAATTCCCATTTTCATATTCTTTACCGTAGATGAAACAGAACAAATTTTCATCATTGAATGTCTAAATGTTAGAGCTGCTCTTAACCCATTGCCTATGGTAACCTACTGGTTCATGTAATAAGCCAATAGGAATGAGAAAATGGAGTAGTCAAGGGATTAATAATAAATTGATAGCAATGTTTTTCTAATACATGCACAACACATACATTACACATTATTTTGTTTCTGAGTTGAAATTGTGTAGGGTGCATAACTTCACAAGAGTTTGTTTTCTTTCAAACCATTTTGTCACTATTCTACAATATCTGTTTGGGGGGGGGTGGAGTGGCTCACTTAAGAACCAGATTTTGAACAGTTCATGAAATAAAAATGTCCCCCATAAAAAAAAAGAAAAAAAAAGACAAGACCAGGAAATTACATTTCAATGTGAAACTATCTTGTAATTTAGTAACAATGAGCTGCAGTCAAGTTCCTTGGCTTACAATCAAAATGGAATTCTATAAATATATCAATCCAAATATTTGGCGTAGTGTCAGTTAAAATGTCTACATGTATTGCAACTTGAAATACAACACGTAGGATATGAAAAGGTCTCTGAAAATGTATCAGTAGTTCTGACCATGTCACGTCAAGCTCAGGGTGCATGTACATGTACAATATATGCATAACATATATGTTCCAAATGCTTATTACTAGCTTGAAATAAAGCAACAATAAAAAAAAAAATTAAAAAAAATAAAAAAAAATTATACTTGATTGGGCTAAATGAGGGATAATAGTTTTGACATTAATTCAAGTTGGCCTGCAAACACAAGTATATAATCTTTTGGTATATTATGTGGATTATGATTATCAGTGTATTACATAGTTTGTATCATATGTCTGTTTTGTTATGGCGATCCCACCACAAGCCTCATGCTTTTTAGGGAATTTATCTCCTTCCTACATAACATTGTAATATATATATTTCATCATATGTTCATTCTCTTTTTGTGAAGGAAATACATTTGTGTTGAATTTAATTGAATTGAGTAGTATTATTTATTTAATCACCTGTCCTTTGGCAAGACATCGATCTACATTTGCCACACTCAACCCAGGTGATGTATTATGGGTACCTGGCAGAAATTAATTCTTTGAAATGCTAGAGCGCAGTAATGGCAGCACAGCTAAAGTCAGGGTAATAATCTCCGAGTTTGGAAGTGCTTAGTGATTGTAATAAGTGCTATATAAAACCTGAGTATTATTATTAGTAGTAGTAGTAAAAAGTTATTAAAAAACAGACCAAAGAGACAGCTTGTCAATTTTTCAGCAAATTGCTGCTTTTTCAGCTAAACCCAGAAGGGGTGTTGCCTCCTATAATGTTAGAAAGCCTAAACGCATATCCAGCTCTCCGTAGACGATATACAAGAACACTTAAAGATTAATGTCTGAGGCCTTCTCAAGACAGGGACATCCTTGGGTATTTCTTGAAAGAAAATTTGCCAATCTGCTCTAATCTGCTTGTGTAGGCATTCGAGGGAAGTCTCGGTGTTCTACAGGTACAGGTTATAGGTAAATCACCATGGCAACGCTCAGGAACTGGTGCAGTCGTATATCCCCTTACAATCTCGATGGGATCCAACAGAGAGCTTACGAGGGTACACCTGCAAGGTGTGATAACTTTACTCTCCCCTATCAAAGAATTCTTTGAGGGAAATTTTTTTTTTAGGACTGACTATTAAAAAAAAGGGTGGGAACCTCAAAAAACTAGATCCATGATCCCTGAATTTTTGTGGATTATAATGTTTAGGTCATGAGGCTTTGAGGTGATCCCCCAATACAGGCCAGTCTGGCGATTGATGGCTGCACTAGAGATTAATTGAGGCCTACATAATGTACCTAATAAGGGCGTACAATCCGTACATAATATACCTATCTATTTATTTATTCATTTTAGGTGGGTCACAGAGAGGCATGTGTATCATTTGATTACAAAAACCCTCTTGCAGACAAATAAATATTTCTTTTTAAAATATGCTTTTTAAATTGTTAATTACCTATCTGGGATTATATAAAAGGTTGTTTATTCTTTAATAATAGCCCATGGGAAACATTCTAAAGTTAACATTTAAAAAAAAAAAAAGTGATTATCAGATTTCTATTATAGTTGACAAATACCACGATACTCTTTGCCCTCATACTGATGCAGAACAATTCTAAATTTCTAATTCCAGAATTGGTTTCTAAACTTTCTATCAAGGTTTGTTTTTAATTTTTTTTTTTTTTGGGGGGGGGGGATTCCCTGTCCGGTTTTTATGCAATAATATAATTCAATAAAAAAAATTAAAAAATTCTTCTACATGTACATCTAAAGTTTAAATCAATGACCATAATCATTATTTTTAAGCATGAATGTCTATCTGTCCAGGTTCTATGAAATAATATATTTCAAGAAAAGGTATGATTTTTTTTCTTCTGCATCCAAAGTTAAAAACAATGATCATATTCATTGTTCTTAAACATAAATGTAATTCCAGTCATTTCTGTGCATGATCTTTGATCAAACTTGTTTTAACATGGACACAACAATGTGTGTAGACTAACATCTGATTAGAAAGGGCCACCTTCAAAATATAGAGTGTATGATCATGATTGTCAATAGACCTACTTATACTGATCTAAATGAGCCAATGGAGGCAGGCGTGTTGTAAAAGAAATGAAGCCTCCAGGCCCCATTAACAAAAATACACGGGGGCTCAGGGCAAATTAGCCCTCAAAAGTCATAAAAGAGCCCCGAAAATTTGCATAGAGTTCAATGCAAAACAAATTAAATAGTGTTCTTTTCCTGCAAGTAAGCTTGAAAAATAACCCCCAAAATTGTTAACATTTTTTTTCCCAGCCAGGCCCCAAATCCTGCATTTCCTTTAACTTTACCTTACAGTGTAGGTGGTGCACCCTCAAAAGGTGTTCAACCCACGCCCACATGTTGCTGGAGAACCCCTCCCTGAGCCTGCCCCAGTTCCACAACTCAATCAACTTGTCCTGGGATAGCTTGGGCTCCCTCACCATGCGGGGGCGGAACCGCATTCTATGCCCGCCGCACCTGTCCGCCTTCAGACACCCGCGGCTCTCGCTTCTGGCCACGGCCTCCAGGACCGGGGGAGGACGTCGCGTCTTCATGGACTGAGAGCGGGGCAGGTAGTTTCTTTGCAGTCTGGTCGTCATTGTCACAACTTTCACAAGTCTCTCCTCATTCCCGTCTAATAATAAACAATGGTTCTAAAGTGATGTCATGGAATATACATTTCCTACTTTTCTGGTCCCATATGCAAATGATAAAGCCAGGATACTGTAAAAAGTATACAGTGAATAAGGAACAAATCACTGCAAAATTTTCTCAAAATCAAAAAGGTTACCACTGGAATCCAACACTATGAATGTATTTCCCGAAAGACCAAGGAAATAGTATTCCTCGCTCCTTTGTCTCCAATGTCAATTGCGCATCCTTCCTCCTTTATTCCAAAAGCAAAGGCTTAAAGGTCCACATCAGAACAACAGCAATAAAATCATCCACATGCACCACATTGTTGTAATTATCCAATATTTGAAATTCTACGACAGCTGTTGTTCGCATTCCGGAAACGTCAATGTCTTCCTATTATATCGTGAGGTCACAAATACAGGATGTGATTGAAAAACTACTGGAAGATCGCTACGATCAATAAGCGACAAAATCAGTAGCGCAATGACGCAACGAATAGTCACCAAAGTATCTATCAGTAGAACATCAGCAAGTTTTCACATGGTGCGAGCATCATCTTTGCATTGATTACGACACCCAAGTTGTGACCCTCATCAACAGAGTGACTCATTAATATGAGAATAGCCCCGCAATTGAGCAAGCTTTCACTCGAACAGCGACAGCGACAGCTGTTCCTCGTCATCAAAACATCAGCGATGGGTAGAGATCGAAGAGCTTTTAACGATTTGGCTGATCTATCATCCGTCATAGATCATTCCACATCCAGAGTAGATTAAACTGTCCACAGAGTGGCACTTGTCGCAAGATGCCTTCCTTTGTTTTAATTTAAAGACTTATAATGCTTCAGGAGAGTATCGTGGTACCTTGGAAGGTGTGTTGTTACTCCATGTAAGTCCGTAGATGTGCACTTCTCGAAAGACAATACTTGATGTCTTCTTTGTTTCAAAGACATCACAAAGAAGGTAGCATCCTAGAATCCTGAAATGTCCATTGTTTCTGTCATTAAACCTCCTGCAGACCCCAAACTATTGCATGATGGATTTCTTTCTTAGGTCCTGTGGGGACAATGTCACATTGTCTTTGAGTAATAAAAAATGTCACATGTGTGCACATAATGGAACTGAAACCAAAGTCATTTATAAATACAAACTGTTTTTCAACTCAATGTCATATCAATATCCATTCGATACATCAATCCTGGAAACCAACTTCATTAAGTGCAAAATTGGCATCTCCTGTTTAAGGTCTGATTTACGACTCCATAATTAGCACCAGTCTCAATAACTTCACAATATATATATATTTCCTTCACATCAATCCATCAGAAAGATCTGATTATCAATCAGATTGGAGACAGGCAAAACTAAAAGTAAAAAGCGATTAACACAAGACCGATATCATCCTGAAAGTGAAAATACTGTTTCCTCCTCTTCCTGAATTCACTCAAGGCACACACGTGCGACTCCAAATATGGGGCTCTCCGAGCGATCTCAATTTCCTTGCACGCAGATGGAAACAGAACAATGAATGCAATGGCACGGTAGACACCCACACGCACCCACACACAACGGGAGCGCAAAATGAGAGTTGGGAACTAATCTGCCGATCATTGATTCTAACTGTTCCTAACCGCTCTAACTTTCCTCGTACAGTACACAGGTTTAGCTCAACAATGAATGCTCAGCCCATACCTCAACAGCCACACACACACACACACACACACGCACCCACACATTAGAGGAGCGCAAATCAGGGGTCAGGAACTACTTTCCCCGATCGTTGATTCTAACTCTTCCCCACTGTTCCTGACATGAGGAAGGGGCAATGCCATGACATCCTGTGCTTGGTTTGGTTACTCATGTTGTATCCAAGCCTCAAAGCTGATGAAAGGATGATGATTCAACAAGGCAGTACAGTGGCCTGCATCCTCAAACAAGTTGGGAAGATAAGGGGAGTTTTTTTCCTTCACCATTGCCATTGTATTTTGATACATTTAAGGATTTGAGCATTTGGAGCTGGCTATTGAAGAAAAAAAAACCTTTCAAACAATTTTTTTTTTTAATTCTCAAAATTCTCAAATTTCGTTAAAAATCAAATAAAAGGCAAATATATTTTTAACACAAAAGATTACACTGTATACAATAAGTGTTACTTCATCGCTTGCATATTATTTTTGCAGCTTTGTCTTATATTAATATTTCTCAGAATTACTTCCATTGAGTGGCACGAACTCTTTCAAATCTATTTTTTAAATAAATTAATACAGGGGTGCTGGGTACATGTAGTTACAGAATTATGTAAATGGGAGGGGCGTAATTCTAAAAAAAAAAAGTTTAGGCAAATAAAGAAAAGAATGATTTTGCATAAAAAGGTCAAATTTTCAGGTGCCTTTTGGGTCATAACCCTAAAATGGGTACCTTTCTTTTTCTTTTGTGGACTCCAGTTACGCAATATCAAAGGTGGGGGGGGGGCTGGGATGGGCAGGTGGTGCCTCGACTCAAATCTGTCACTGGATAAACTCTCTTTTGGTCTACTTTATCGTAACAATGATCCAGTCGGAGGCAATATTGGGAGGATTCCTAAAGCATTGACAGCCATGTACATGTACTAATTAGGACAAACTTTATTACAACAGGTGACATCGTTCACGTGATCTTCTGTCTTAACTTTTAGTCACGATTGGTCCAGGCACTTCCGCTGCCACCTGCACAATCATGGCTATGGTGTTCTTGAAGGGGCCCCAAGTACTTTGAAGAACCTGGACAGGCCAAGGATAGACTCAGAATACAATAGACTGACAACAGCAGTTAACGGGGAACCCCACAACCTGATGCTGCCAAGAATCCAAAATTCCAGTACATTTCCTTAAATCCCCACTGCACTACTTATTATAGCTACTATATAGCAAGCAATGCCTAATCGATGACCATTGGTCCCCCATGATCCTCTTTTTCTTATGTTAACTGAGAGCTGATTTGATGAGATAACCACCTGTCAGTGACCTTGCAGGGTAGTCTAATCCCTCCTGTAAACTAGTACAGATGGGCTTTAAGTGAAACTCAGTTTAAGGCATCTACGAGATCACACTTTCAATCTACATTTATTAAAGAACTTTTCAAGTCTTTCTGACCAATACCTTTCTTATGGGATAGCAAACCACCATCTGGCCAATTCAAGAAGAAATTAAAAATAAAGTCTAAACCAGCAACTGACATTTCAGAAAAAGAATGATTTTTAATGAACCAGTAATTTCCTATAACCCTGTTGACTTCTAAATTGTCATTCTCCTTTCTCATTGTCACTTCTCATTCCCAGAGGCTTAATACAGTAGTCAACCGGTTCCTGAAGGCAATTCATTTCTCTAACAATCTTTAAGATGACCTCCACTGTGCAATTTTAATACAATTCATGTTGCCCCCCTGTGATGGTTGGGGGGGGGGGGGGAGGGGCGAGGGGTTGATCAGAGCACTGTATCTGCTTGAACAAAATGAATCTGACATACCAGTACTACATGTAGTTCCATAAGCTGTTAATAATATCCTGTAATAATGAAATGTACCACAGCTTTTAATACTCAAACTTAGAACTAAATATGAGATAAAAATCTTGATTTCATTTCAGTTTTTCTTTGAAAGAAAGGGCATATAATAGAAGCATTTTCAGGATATACGTTATGAAATTCACGGCTAAAACTGAATGCCTTCATACAATAGCAAGAAACTTTGGTCACTCAACAAGGCTTTCCATCATTCATTTTGTCATAAATCTCAACTACCTCTATTGAGAGGAGATGGTTACTCAGGTAGGTGACAATTGAATTCATGGAGCCTGCTTGGCTCTAATTGATGTAATCTGTAAGAGGCACCGTGACACTTTCCTGTATAACACCTCTAATGTCCGATGGGAACAAATTGGCAACGCAGGAGAGAGTCACTTGCTCAGCAAATTGGCAAGACTAGAAGATAGGAATTACTCGGAACTTACTCATTCTTATTGTCATGGAATCATTCAAATGATAACATATTGTCTAAATGTCTATGATTGTTTTCCCTTTTGTACTACATGTATGTGCAAATTAATCTTTCAAAATGCGTTGATATGTAACAATTAATCTTTTAAAACAATAGAAGAACTAACTGCAAAAAATATGTTATTCTTTTAAAGAATGAAAAACAAAGCTATTTATGACAATGTGCTTTGCATTGTACATTTTAGAAAAAAAGTTAATTAGATTGGAAATGGATCACATCTGTATCACTTTTAGGACAATGGGATCATTAAATAAAGGAAAGTGTTATGAAATCAAATGAATTCATGACAATATAAGTGTAATCGTTCATTTAGAATTTCAATGTCAATGATCACGCTGAAAATTTATGAGGATAATTCCATTCAGCCTACTCTATTTTCACTGTTCTTGAAAACATGACATAATGTGAATAAATGATTTCTTTCACAGAAGCTGTTTGCCACATAAACTTCTTTTGCCTCAGTATTTGGACTAAGGTACATCTAATTTATTAACACATGTAAGAATCATATAAATCTCAGTCCTGAGAAAAGAAGAAAGACCTGAGCACTCCTGATATGGTAGCCTCAATAACAATATTCAATTAAAATTTCATAAAATGTATCGTATAGAAAGCAAAGATATTGAGATTACTGTTCTATTCAGGGAACTACTGTACTATACTCTTATATAGCATGGAAGAGTATCTGTATCTGTTATCACAATTAGGTCTGACATGTTTCCTTATCAGTGTGTCTTCCTTCATTTCAAGAGATATTCATTCAAATAGTATGATATTTACACTTATGGCAAACACTTTGCGTAAGAACTAATTCACTGATAAATTCATGCTCACGATTAACACTGACATTTCAGACTTACGATGAACTCTGAAATGTTATGCTTCCTGGTACAATGAACTCAGAAATTTCATGCTAACAATGAACTCAGAAATTACATGCTTACTATTAAACTCCAAAATCTTAAAGTGTTTGTGTTCCAACTACAAGTTTTGGTTACAGATTGTTGCTAACTGTCTAGATTCAAGTCTCCTTTTCAGGAATTAAACATCTTCACTACCTTGTCTTAAAAGGGAATACCTTTAATGGGTGATGATGACGATAGTGTTAGAATGAGGGAAGTCACCTCTAAGCTGGGTGGCTTGGCAAGACATCAATGTTCTCAACCCCAGCCCGTCCCCCGGGAAGCGCTGAGGTAGGATGACCAATTTCCGTCTCATTGCACATTCCCTATCCTCGCTCATCTATTGCAATCTCGTTCGTTCGTTCGTTCGTTAGGAGCTCTCACTCTCTCTGACTCTCTTTCTTTTTCTGAGTGTGAGGGGGTGATGATGGGGTTGTGTGTGGTCTCTTTGTCTTTTTCTTTCTCTCCCCTTCTATCTTTCTCTCCCTCTCTACCCCTCTCTCTCTCTCTCTCTCTTTGTCCCTCTCTCTCTCTCTCTTTGCCCCTCCTCTTCTCCCTCTCTGTCACCTCCTCTTTTCTCTATGTCTACTCCCCATTCTCTTTTTTTCCCCTTCTTCCTCTTGTTCTTTTATTTCTTATCTATTTCAAACTCTTTCTTTATACTACATGTACTGGACAGTGCACTTTTTTTCCATATTTCTCTGTCTTACTTTTCCTTTCAGTTCCTCTATTTATAGTTTGTTTTCTTTTGGGTTTTCTATACGTCTGTTTCACTCTTGTTCTCTATTTTAAAAAAAAAGTTATTTCCTCCTTCTAATCTTCCACTTAATCAATCATACAACTGCACACATGTACCTACTACAATGTACTCATGGTTTTCCTTTCCTATTACGTGTACTTTATTCATATCATTAATTCAGATGTTTGTATGATACGATATCCCATTAGCAGACATACATATTAAGTTTGTCTATCCAATATTCTTGCAATAGGATTAACAAAGCCCTCATGCGAGATGTCTAAAAACTCAAATGTAACCTTCCTGTTTACCTAGTATGCGCATGACCCGCCCCCCCCCCCCCCCCTCTCTTTAGACCTAAAATTCTACGAAAGAAAATGAGAACTTCAAAACCAAACTTAAATCTTACACCTAAGATTAAAGAACATCCTGCCAAATTTTTGCAAGCATACGGTAGAATTTCCTGTTATTCTCCATTTTCCTTTTCTCCTTCACAGTAGTCTCATACAAACTTCCCCCTTTTACCCCCTCACCTTGCTGCTTTCTCTGAAAAGGTTGGAGTTATCTGCCAAGATTCAGGGATAGATATAGTAACAGTTTCTTGATGCACATTAAATGTCTGTATGCATTTAGGTATTCATCCTTCAGTAGTACTAGGGTCTGTCCTCTGTACTTAAGTTAACCCTAGCTAAAATGATGTTGAATTGCATTCATGAAGTCACTTTCTTTTTTGTAGTTATTATTGAGCTACTATATATCAATGTATATTTTATAACCTTATTTCATGTTTTTTTGTATTTTACTGCTAATATGACAATATTAGTCTTCAGAATTTTGCTATGTTCTTTTGTTTTTACAATAAAACCAAAATTGAGTTGAATTGAATTGAAAAGCCCCATAGAAAGATGAATCCCATAAAATTCATTTAATTTAAAGTGAATAATGAAGAAGATATGAAAAGAAAGATCAATAAACAGATAGGTGCAAAGAAAGAATTGTTACTAGAAGAGACATATATTTAACCTCAGTAGCCTAAATCTGCACATCTGCTGATACACATACATATAGGCATGTATTGCCAAACTATTGAGAGTATACACAAACCAATAAACCATGCCTGTAAGACCCCCCCCCCCCACCCCTCAACTCTTCCCCTATATCCTCCATCTCATACTCAGTTTAGTCCACGCAGCAGGTTGTTTCAAATGACATCTGAACTGTAGATGGAGCTGTTCAACTATGGAACAGCTGACACATGAATGAAAATGCATGAACTTAGTGTCATTCATTTGTATGCTTTCTGACTGTCTATGAT